AAACAACAACCCCACCCTTTCGTCTTACTCTAACAAGGTCAAAAGAGGAGACAGGAAAGAAGGCGAGGAGACAGATAAAGTAGTGGTGGGGGTCGTCGAGACAGAGAGACTTGAAGCAGAGTGTGGGGTATCCGCAGGTGAGAGCAGCACACGGCAGCAGCACCTGCTGCTGCTGCTGCTGCAGCTGCTGCTGCTGCTGCTGCTGCTGCTGCTGCTGCTGCAGTTGCTGCTGCAGAATGCTGCGCTGACGGTTTATACTCTCGTCTGTATCCAGCAGCAACAAAGAATGATAACGACCCTGTACTACCTCTGGTATATATATTTCATGCTGCTGCTGCTGCTGCTGCTGCTGTTGCTGCTGCTGCTGCTGCTGCTGCTGCTGCTGCTGCTGGTGATGGTATTGATACTGCTGCTGCTGGTGATGGGAGAAGTATTTCCTGCCTTGTTGCTGCTCCCTTTCCCTTTCTCGCTGCAGCAGCAGCTGCTGTTCCTGCTGCAGCAGCAGTTGCTGCTGCTGCTGCTGCTGCTGCTGCTGCTGATAGTAATATACAGCATCCTGCTGCGTCAGCTGCAGCAGCAACCTGTGTATGTTTGCTTCTCTTCTTAGCTCTGCTGGCATTGGGATCGGATCCCTGAAAGAAGCAAAATGAGGAAACGAAGACAAACCAAAACGAGGCAAACGAGGAAAAAAGCTGCTGCTGCTTCCTGCTGCTCCTGCTGCTGCTGCTGCTGCTGCTGCTGCTGCTGGTGTTGGTGGTGCTGGTGGTGGTGGTGCTGCTGCTGCTGCTGATGAGGATAGTGAGGAAGGATACGGGTCAGGATCGACACATCCTGCTGCTGCTGCTGCTGCTGCTGAGGCAGCAGCTTCTGCTTCTGCTGCAGCAGAAGAGGGAGCAGCAGCAGCAGCTGCTGCTGCTGCTGCTGCATCAACGAAACCCTGAACAAGGCCAGCATGTGGATGCTGCCCAGCTAGTGAAGAATAGTACTGCTGCTGCTGCTGCTGCTGCTGTTGCTGCTGCTGAGCTAGCTGCTGCTGCTGCCGCTGCTGCTGCTGATGCACCAGGTGCTGCTGCAGCTGCTGCTGCAGCTGCTGCTGCTGCAGCAGTTGCTGCTGCGCATCCACCTGCAACTCGTGCAGTGCATGCATCTCTTCCTGCTGCTGCTCCTCCTGCTGCTGCTGTTCATACTGCTGTCGCTGCTGCAGCAGCTGCTGCTGCTGCTGCTGCTCCTCCTCCTCCTGCTGCTGTTCCTCTTCGTCCTCTTCCACGTGGTGCTGCTGCTGCTGCAACTGCTGCTCCTGCTGCTGCTGCTCCTGCTGCAACTGCTGCTGCTGCTGCAGCTGCTGCTGCTGCTGCAACTGCTGCTGCTGCTGCTGCAACTGCTGCTGCTGCTGCTGCTGCAACTGCTGCTGCTGCTGCTGCTGCAACTGCTGCTGCTGCTGCAACTGCTGCTGCTGCTGCAACTGCTGCTGCTGCTGCAACTGCTGCTGCTGCTCCTGCTGCTGCTGCAACTCCCGCTGCTGCAACTCCTGCTGCTGCAACTCCTCCTGCTGCCGCAACTGCTGCTGCAATTCCTGCTGCTGCTGCTGCTGCTGCTGCAGTTGGTGCTGCAACTGCTGCTGCAACTGCTGCTGCTGCTGCTGCAACTCCTGCTGCTGCTGCAACTCCTCCTGCTGTTGCAACTCCTGCTGCTGCAACTGCTGCTGCAACTGCTGCTGCTGCTGCTGCAACTCCTGCTGCTGCTGCTGCTGGTGCAACTGCTGCTGCTCCTGCTGCTGCTGTAACTGCTGCTGCTCCTGCTGCTGCAACTCCTGCTGCCGCAACTGCTCCTGCAACTGGTGTTGCTGCTCCTGCTGCTGCTGCTGTTGCAATTCCCGCTGCTGCAGCTGCTGCTGCAACTGCTGCTGCTGCTGCTGCTGCAACTCCTGCTGCCTCAACTGCTGCTGCAGTTGCTGCTGCTGCTGCTCGGACTGCACCAAAGCTGCTGCTGCTGCGCGCTGACTTGAACCTACTCCTGCTGCTGCTGCTGCTGCTGCTACTGCTGCTGCTGCTGCTGCTGCTGTTGGTGTTCCTGCTGCTGAGGCTGTGCTGCGTCTATTTGCTTTTCCCCTGTAGCGGCGATCAGCAGCAACAGGTGTACGTACAGCTGAAACACACACATAAACCCTAAACCCTAAACCCTAAACCCTAAACCCTAAACCCTAAACCCTAAACCCTAAACCCTAAACCATAAAACCCTAGACCCTAAAACCTAAACCCTAAACCCTATACCTAAAACCCTAAACCCTAAACCCTAAACCCTAAATAAACCTTAAACCCTAAACTATAAACGCTAGAGAATGAGCAGGGAGAGGGAAGGAGACAGAAGGAGACAAGGAGAATATATCAGCAGCAGCAGCAGCAGCAGCAACAGCGGCAGCAGCAGCAACAGCGGCAGCAGCAGCAACAGCAGCAGCAGCAGCAACAGCAGCAGCAACAGCAAACAAGTGCAGCAGAAGAAA